AAGGAGCAATTTAATAAGTCATATAAAGGAGAAATTTTAGGTACAGACGATCATGATGAAATTGAAAAGCAATTTAAAAAAGCAGAAGAATACAGAAAAGATAATCTTTTATCTAATAAAAATAGTCGATCACATACTACTCATCCAAAGGCTGTTTATACATCTCGATTACTTAATTCTTTTACAAAAAATCTCCCAAAATATGAAGATACTGAATGTTTAGATTGTAAGATTGTAGTATAGAAAATTGTCGTTTATCGCTATAGCGACATATCGCTAGTCTATACAGATCATGTGATTTATCGATTCATCATATTATTTATTGATTTAAACTCGTAAATTGCTTTTTCTAAACTATATTTAGATTACGAAAAAAGATTATCATTATTTTTTTCTCACCTCTCTTTTTTAGTTTACCAACAATTTTAAACTTTCATTAATAGTGACTAATTTATTCTTATTTATTAAACATTTTACTCTTAAAAACTTTCTTTTTACTCTTTTGTTATTTCTATTGGTAAATATGTGGATGAAGAAAGTGGATACAAAAGTTCTAATAATGGTATGTTGATAATAAGGGTTAGTATTGGTGTTGGTATCATGTTAGGGTTAAGATTATGGTTAGGTTAAGAATTAGGAATTAGGGTTTGAGTTTAGGGTTTGGTTTAGGGTTAGTTTATTTATAGTTTATAAGTCTAACTCTTCTTTTTTTTAGTTATTTGTAGGGTTAGTTTGTTTAGTGTTTATAAGTATCTAACTCTTCTTTTTTTTAGTTATTTGTGGTGGCCAAATAATTTTATTTAATGAACATGATACTGTATCTTTATATTTATTAAAGACCTTTACATTATAGAAGGATGTAAACAATCTTTGAGTGAATGGACATAGAGTCAAGGTTTTAGATTAGTATTTTTCATTAATGGTCATTTATTTGTGATCATATTTGAATTCATAATTCATCCTCCACCAGAGATACTTCTACCAAAAAATTAAATTGTCCTTTTTTTGTTAATGCATTTTATTAAAGAATAAAAATCCACAAGGCTTTGTATTTATAAACAAGTCATAACCATCCTTTAATAAATCAATGACTGAAGATGCAAAAAGATTTACACCTGAAATGATTTATGATATTAGATTATAACCATTCACCGTACAGTACATTTGGTGTGGCAACTCATCTATTTAAATGATCTATATTCTGCAATTAAAAAATTTTGTCCAAGTAGTAAATCTTTATCAAACAATGCAGCCCAAATACCAAACTGGTCTGACCAATAAAAAGAGATGGATCCTCAATGGATTGTAGTTCATAGTTGGGATGAAAATAATACTTTGATTTATTTATTCTGGATGTTACCAATTCAAATAGGAAATCAGATTCATTATTCTGATTGTATCTTTAATAATGTAACTCATAAAACCAACCATCATGGCATGGCATTATTATTGTTTTTTAGATTTGATAATCATTAAAGTATTTTACTTGCCTAAGCTCTTCTACTTGATAAAGTCTTGAATCACATATATGGATGTTCAAACAGATAATAGAATCAGCCAGTATATAACCAATAATTATTATTACAGATGCTGATCAAGCTGTAGATGCTGCTGTTTGACAAGTTTTTCCATTAATATATCCTGTTCATTATACTTATTATATCACCCAAAATATTCATAAGAATCTCAGGAAGCTATTAAATGATAATCATTATCAAAGTTTTCTAATATCATTTTATAATTGCCAGAATTGTTTTGTTGAAGAAATTTTTCAGAAATGATTTGGCAAGCTAATTGATAGTTTTCTCAAAGATAATTGCAAATCAAAAATATATTGGATTCTTTACAGATACTTGAAATCTATAAACAATGTTATTTCAAAATCATTTGATATAATATTACAACAACATTGAATGACATCAAAACAATATTGAAATAACATCAAAACGACATTGAAACTATATTGAATGATATTATAATAAGTTAATAACATCAAAATGATACAGATGCCTACAATAATTTACCAGATTTTTTAAAATTACTTAGTAATTTATAGTAAACTTAGCATTTTTTAAGATATATAAAAGTTTGTCAAAATTTAATATATTGTAATCAATTTTTTTTTTTATTTAAAACTAATCAATTGTAGCTTTTAAAAATATAATTAAAGATATAATTTATATTGAAATTCCAAAAGTTATTTAAATATAATTAATATGTAATCTGATTATAAAAAGTTGTTATGCTTAACATCCATAATTTTTTTTATATTTTAAAACTATTTAACTATTTATTTTGATATTTAAAAATTATGATATTTAGCTAAATTTTGAATGAAATTTGTTGGAAACTTAGACTTTTTATGCAATTTTGCAATTTTAAGATCAAGTATTTTAAAAAAATCTGGTAAATTACTGTAGGCCTCTGTATTGTTAAGTTTAACTTAAATATGTTATTTTAATATTATTTCAATATTATTTTGCTTTGATATGCAGTATTATTATTTCTTTTTTTTTTTAATCTTTTATCAGTATTACAAAAAATTACGATGTAATCAATCACAATTTTGATGCAACAGCATCACATCAATAAAAGCATTCACACTAAAATATAAAAACTAATTCTAATTATTTCTTGTTAGAAAATATGTAACATCAACTAGGATTATTTAAACTATATATGACACTCAACTACAAATGATTATAACAAAATAAAGGCAGGGTACAATAACCTGCCCAAACTACAGATTTACATTAGTAGCAAATCCTGAAAGAGTCTAATCTCAATGTGGAATTATATTGGGATACATAAGTGGCCCATTAGAATAACAACTGAAATTTGGCAGCAAAACTAAACACAACACCTACTTCATCATCCTATGATAATCCTATTCCACTATTACTTTGCTAACAACTTAACATGGTTTGTATATAATGTACTGTAATTTTTAATTTTACAATACATTTAAAAAATTTTAAGATACTCATTATTGGTCTTGTAGGGACATAGTGCAATAGTTAGTGTAACATCAATTGTAATATTAATTTATTCATGTATATTTAATATAAATTATAGCAAATTATTGTAAAATATATTGTAAAATTTAATTATAAAATAAATTGTAAATTTAATTTGTATTGTAACTTTAATTATAAAATACATTTCCTCTCATTGGTATTTAAAAAAAAGAAAAAAAGCAAAACATTAATAAAACGTTTTGCCAAAAAAAAATCATTTCATCAAAATCTTGCTAAAAGAATTAAATTCAAAAAAAATATATTCCTGATTTCCTTTTCCATGTGCCCAGACACGTCTAAAAAAAAAATTTAAAACTTCAATATATGTTTCATTATAATAAATAAACTAAGACGAAAAAAAAACTTACTATAACAAAATCTTACGCATCTAAAGAGACTCAAAGAAATATCTATAAAAAAAGAACTATTAATATCTGTTTGTTAAATTAAAGGAAAATTTTGAAAACTTACGAAATGTCACATCCAGGAGACCAAAAAGCTGTCTAAAAAAGAAAAAGAAATAAGTAACCATTTTTAAAAGATGGAATAAAGAAATTTAAAAAAAAAATAATACTTCACCAAAGTCCCGCATCTAAAGAGCTGAAGAATCGCCTAAAAGAAGAAAAATTGAAGCATTAGGAAATGTTTTGTTAAATAAATGTTTTATCCAAGAATAATTCAAAAAAATCTCTACCCTACCGAATTGTTACGTGTCCAAAGACTCAGTCATCAAAAAAAAAAAAAAATTGAAACATTAGTATATATTTCGTTGAAATATATAACAACAGTATAGATACTTCTGATTTCTCACCGAATCTCACGTGTCTGAAGGGCGAAATGAAGCCAAAATCTAGAAAAAGAAAAATTAGTATCAAAGACATAGAAGGAAACTATTAGTAATTAAGACAAAAAGATAAAATAAGAATAGAATACACCCACCCAGAAATTGACAAAACCTAAAAAAGAAACACAAAAGAGCCACCAAAACCTAAAAGTAAAAAGAAATCGAAGCATACACCTACAAAAAAAAGAAAGGAGAAAGTTAATAGTAAAGACAAAAGATATAAGAAAGACCAGAAGAAATGACACTTGCTTCCATTTCCAGGGAGAATCGGCAAACCCTAAAAGAAGAGAAAACTGAGAAAAATGAATTATTAATAAAGTTCGTTAAAGTAAAATAATCAAAAAAAAACTAAGAATTACCATGCTGAAATCCCATTTCCAAAGAGACCTTAGAGAAACGCCTAGATGAAGAAAGTAAATGGACTGTTAGAAAATGTTCATTAAAACAAAAACAATTAAGGAAAAAAAATTTAACTAGCTTACCGAAATTTCACGTCCAAAGAGACAGAAAGAACCACCTAAAAAAAAAACTGAAATATTAGAAAACGTTTCATTAAAATAGATAAGAAAAAAAAAATTAAGAAAAACAACTATTAGAAATCATTCGTTAAAATGAAACAATTAAAAAAAAAAGACAAACTTACCAGAAATTTGCACCTAAGGAGGGAAACGCTTAAGATTTTTTCAACAAAAAATGTGAGAGAAGCAGGAAAAGAGAAAGAAAAGAGAATAGTAAAGGGAAGAGGGAGGAAAGGAAAAGGAAAGAACAAGGGAGAGACAAAAGAAGAATACGAAGGGAAGTGAAAGGGTGAACAAAGGAAAAGGGAAGAATGAAAAAAAAAGTAAAAAAAAAGTTTAAAAGAAAGAAAGTTTAAAAAGAAAAAAAAAAGTTTAAAAAAAGTTAGTTGATCAAAGTCATCAAACTGCGGATTATATCACATGCACGTAATATATAAATAGGGCCATAGGGGTTTATTTTACGTATATATTAATGGTGAGGGTATTTCAAAACCTTTTCACGTCGATCTCTTGACCAAAATACAGCTAACGAACTTTACATAGAAAAATATTTTTTCAATAGATAAACACATAAATTTTATTAAATTTTTGAACTCTCCGACGTGAAAAGCATATAACAACATGGCAGAAAATACTCGCTCCAAAAGTAATAAACGATCAAGCCAGAAAACACAATTTGAGAACTATACTAATAATCTATCAGACAAAGAAATGGTCGCAGAAACTTATAAAGCTAAAGAAAAAGCTTCGTCGTTGTCTCAAGCAACGAAAAAATTAAAAAAAGCTGAAGCCTCTTCTTCACTATCGTCTCCAAATAACAATGATAATAATATGATCATAGACGATAAAAACGAAATGGAACACCCAATTTCTTCTGAACCTAACGTCTCATCACGTGACGCATCTACAAACGTTTCGCAAACACCAATCACTAATAGCCAAGATGCAATGGACACAGATCTACCAGAAAACAATTCAGATAAAGGAATTACACAAGGATCTGCAGATACACAAATTACATCTGATACAAACAATGATGTAAACTCACATAACTTAGAAATTTTTAAGGAATATAACTCACGTTCAGACAGTCAATATATATTATTTTTCATGAGAGACCAATTTGATAAAGAAAAATCAAACAACGAAATTCTCAATGACCTAAAAAATGCATTTTTAATGGAAAAGGACGTAATCGAATACAAAATCAACAAAAAAGCCACAATTGAATTTTACACTATTCTTATTGGTACAGAAGAAACGTTCAACAAAATTAAAGATAAACCTGTACCATTGTTGAACAATACTGCGCCAAAAATTTATTCCCGCGATGCTATAGACAACCTGATTAATCACGATATTAACAATTTAAGAGCACGCTCAGTCAATCTTTTAAACGTGCCAATCAACTATGATATAAATCTTTTAATCAAACATATAGCTAACTTTACCAGCAGCGCCATTGACAGTTATAAAGAATTTATCCCAATAGACGCATTACCAACCGCAATTTACCATCTAGAATCAAATACAATCTTAGATCGCCTACATATAAAAAAGTTACGCTTACATTCAATAAACCAAATGCAGTAGAATACTTATTATCACAACACAAATGGGGCATTTTAATAGAAAACTTTCTCATTAGAATTGTACCTATAGACGAACAACAACATAATTTTAAAAATAGAACAACCCCTACGTATGTAGTTACAGGGATCCCCTCAATGCTAACGTGTTGAATTTAATTCCTTTAACAGACCATCTAAACGCACGATCCATTGAATTTCTCCCTACTAAACCAGTATCACTACACAAAGTAGCTAATATATATTGTAATATTGATGATGATAATCACGTACAATATTCTAAATTCGACACAAATTTTCAAGGATTCCAATTACATATTTACCCTGCCCAGAAATTTAACCTAAATGACACATGTGGCTACTGTGGCAAGGAAAATCACAACGTCTATGATTGTAGTGAAACAGATTACACAATTATCCCACATAATAAAGAAAGAAAATATAGGAAAAAATTCTTGAAAAGACAAAACTCCTATACTCTTAACGATAATGTTAAATTATCTTATGATCAAATCAAACCATTAATGTTTTCACAACGCAACCGTCCTAATCCACATGGTCGTCATAACACAAGACCACCACCCAACCAGGGTTACCAAACTAAAGCACCTAATAATTCTACTTTTACTCCTCGTGATAAACGCCATAATCGTGGTCCCGCATCTCGTTCCACGTTTATTCCAGATAATGATATGAATAACTGGGATGTTAATCCAAATAACGCTAATGCCAACAAACCCACAATCAAAGGTAAACAAAGGGCATCAGACAACTCTAACAACGATGAACTGCTTAATAGAATCGTTCATTTAGAAACAATTATTAAAGATCTCAGCTCAGAAATAATGGGATTAAAAATCACAGATAAACAGCATAAAAAAGACATTATTTTCTTGAAGGAACAAGAAACGCGACATGCGAACAATATGGAAAAACTCAATCAACATTTAACAACGATCAATGAAAATATGGCTAAACAAGCCGCTACAATTAGTGGTGTGCCAAAAATAGTAACCTTCCTAGAAAACCTGGAACAAAATGGATTCTTCTCACAATTTAACGATAACAACCAAGCGTATGGATCAAACAACTACAGTTATCCTCCTCATGATGAATTCGTCACTGAAGAACACCTGCAAGAAGAATATAATGATTCACAGAGCGGATACGAATCATCTAGCACAGTTGAAACTCATAACGTATTCCTGGATACGGACTATACGCCCTCAAGACCCACAGGAGGTTATCCCACTATCACTTCTTCCATTAGTAATAAATTTGGTAATATGCTAGGCTTAGGCCACAGGCAACAATAGTAGATTATAATCTACCATATAACGAGTAATATCTCTCAAACTATCAGGGTGGACTAATGATGGACAACAAATTTAACAAATTGGTTACGAAAGTTCGAAATATAACTTCGAACATATCTTCTTCTTTTAATAATAAACAAAAAAACCAATAAAAACCACAAAAAAATATTAAAAACCAAGAAAAAATCACAAAAAAAGATTCATTTATTAACAACAATGATACACATTTTAATCAAAATTTAGATAATATAGATGATTCTTCACATAATTCAGGCGTTCCCGATTGTTTTGATTGGATACACGATATCAAACAATTTACATTTGCTAGCCATAATATTCAAGGAGGCTCAAAAAAGAAATGAACAGAAATTATCGAAATGATGGCTCATCATTGTATAGACTTTTTACATATATGTGAAACTAATGAACGAGATAATACACAGGCAATCTCGATAAATCGGATCCTCGATAAACCGGATTTGGCACTATTTCGGATTTTTCTTCTGGAACCAAATCATCTATATTAAAACAGTCTTGATATATCGGACTTTATTAGTAAAATCTTGATATTTCGTAAATCGGATTTTATTCTAGATCAACTATAGTTAAAAAATCTTGATATGACGTATTAATTTTTTTTGAGTCCTAAATAATTATGTCAATTATTTATTAATTAGGCAAACAATTTTTCTCACTGTTTTTTTTTCAAAATATACTTTAGCATGAGAGAAAACAAAGATACGAATAATAAAAAGAAGAAATCTTTAACATTAGCTCAAAAGAAAGAACTCTGCGAAAAACAAAGAGATCAAAAACTTAGTGGTGTTCAATTAGCAGCACAATATGGAATTTCCACTAGCACAGTTTCCGATATTTTAAAAAGATCAGAACATTGGCTTTCCATTGATACCACTTTACCAAATGCAAATAATTTTCGTGAAAAATCTAGTGTTTATCCACAACTAGAAGAAGTAATGAGCATTTGGGTTGATCAACAAATTTCAAGAAATTTAACTATAAATGGGCCTATTATCCAACAAAAAGCAGTAGAGTGTGCTAACTTACTTGATATCACCAACTTTTCAGCATCTGCAGGATGGTTAAGCAACTTTAAACAGAGAAATAATTTGCATACATATAAAAAAAAAGGAGAAGCTGGCAGTGCTCCTATTGATGAACTTCCACAAATGAGAGCTGAATTACGAGAAATTCTTCAAGCATATGAACTAAAAGATATCTGGAACTGTGATGAAACTGCTCTTTTTTGGCGTTTAGAACCATCCAAAACAATAGCACAAGATCCTGTACTTGGTAAAAAACGTCCTAAAGAACGTGTTAGTATTTTGGCAACTTGTAATGCTTCTGGTGATGAAAGATTGCCTTTAGTTTTTATTCATAAATATGAAACACCACGTGCATTAAAGGGAATTGAAAAAAGATCTCTCCCTGTTTGGTATTATTGGAACTCTAAAGCTTGGATGCAAAGAAGTATTTTCAAACATTATCTTGAAAGATTAAATTCCAAAATGCTTAGAGAAAATCGGCATATTATTTTACTAATAGATAATGCTAGATGTCATGAATCTGAGAACATCAATAGTCTTTCAAATGTTAAGGTTCATTTTTTACCACCAAATACAACATCATTTCTTCAACCATTAGATCAAGGCATGATTTATAGTTTAAAAGCACAATATCGCAAATTGCTATGTCAAAATCGTATTCAAGCTTATGATTTTTATGAAGAGGGAGACCCCATTCCACCCCCAATTGATATTTTTGATTCAATCAATTTAATTGCTGATGCCTGGAAAAAAGTATCTAAAAAAACAATTCTTAACAGTTGGGCTAAAGCTGGAATCCTTCCCAATAATAATATGGAAGATTCTGAATGTTCAGACAATTCCGATTATGAAGAAGATAATATTGGACATGAATTACAATCATTAATTGATGAGTTAGGATTCGTAGATCCTTTAGCTGTGAATGACTATATTAATATTGATAATAGAGCATCTGCTGAAGAGGAATTATCATTACAAGAAATTGTTGACGTTGTAAAGGGAACAAATGAAAGGGAAATTGAAGAGGAAGAGGAGCAAGATGAAATCTCTACAATAGTTGCGTTAAATAGCATTGAAAATGTAATTAAATATATTCAACAAAAAGATTTAGAAATTGGTAATTTAGAAATGAAAAATTTAATTAAATTGAAAAAAAGGATCTTTTTTGATAATATAAATGAAAAAAGGCAAAGTAAACTAAATGAATATTTTGATTTTAATGTATGACAGATAGTTCTTTTATAATAATAAAATTATATTCATTTTTGAATAAAATTTTGAAAATTTTGAACGAAAAATCACGTGATTTCTTGGTATTTCTGATTTTTCATATATTTTTATATAAATCCGGTTTGGCGAGATTTTTTCGATATATCGGATGTCTTGATATATCGGATATTTTTACTGGAACCAACTGATCCGATTTATCGAGATTGCCTGTGTAATTTTAGTTTAGCACAATCCAAAGCCCATATTAGATATGTCTCACCTAGTCCAAAAGATGACTCTCCTTACAAAACATTTTATATTATTAACAACCCGAATGAAAATAAAACGGGAGAGGGATCAACATTAATAATGACACAACAACTACATAACCACTTAGAAAGTATGACCATCAAGATCAAAGGAAGATATATATACACTACTTTCAATTTCAAAAACAAAACAAAAATTTTTATCCATTCAATTTATTTACCACACCTTGAACTTAAACACAAAACACTTTACAAAGATATTATTATAGAATTATATTCAACGCTTTCCAAACAACCGACAAAGCAAAATCACGTGACTCTATTATTAGGAGATTTTAATATACGAGATCTCAATCAAAAGAAAATTTCTGTAAAAAGAACTCTGTTTTCAAAACAATATATAGAAGACCATTCAACAGATTCAAATATTATGCACTTAATATTACAACATTTCAACTTAATTAATTTAGCTGACAAGTTTGGATTATCTACTGCACCGACACATATCCCGTCAGATTCTAATAAACAACTGAGCGTTATTGATTACATATTTGGATCTAAAAATTTATGTAATAAAACTTTAAACTTTAAGATTCTTAACATGGTAGACGATGAATTTAATGATTATAACTCTGACCACAACCTTTTAATGGTATCGATAGATCACCCTAATGAATACATCAGAGTACATAGTAACAATAACTACTCAAAACTAAGAGCTAGCTCCTCAAACGACAACGATCACTACAATATTAAAGACTTAAATACAGATCAATGGAATAGATTCCAAATGCTGTTGAACAACTGTGCTTATCCCATATATGAAGAATCAGATAGAATTGGTGACCCACAACAATTTATTAATTTACGTATGAATCAAATAGATCGAGATATTAAGGAAGCTCTAGCTAAAGTAGATATTAAAACTTATCAACCTTCGATTCCAAGAAGAAATGATTTTCCTTTACATATCAGACAACAATATAATCAGTTATATCAACTTAGATCCCTTACCGTTTATATGAACGACAAAAAACAAATAATAGATAATCACTCAGTAATTGAACGGATTAATTCGAATTTGAATAAAATATCATGTGACCAAATAGATATGAACAAAATTTCTTTTATATTTCGAAAATTTTGGAGGAGAAAAAGGAAATGGCTCATAAAACTTTCCAAAATTCATAACCTAAACATAGTCGATTCACTACCACACAATTTAGAAAATATAACTGAAATCGATATTATCATATCCATTATTCAACAATTGGAAAAGCATATTAAAGGTTCTTTGATAAAGGATCGCTCACAATGGGATAAAGATCAAATCAACAAATTTATTAATAGACGAGATGATGATATAAAAAATAATAACAAACGGATGTTAAACTCTATATTAGAATGACATCCTAGAAAGATTACGCTTGATCGAATCAAATATCAAGATAATGACGAAATTAAGTACTCGAACGACCCGATCATAATTACTAAAATCACTAATGAACATTTTAAAAATATTGGTTTATCGAATACAAGTAATCAAAAATATAACAAAGATAACGGTTTTGATCAATACTGGCAAGAATTTTATACTCCCAAGCATAATATTCCTTTAGAAGAATCTAATTCTTTAGAATCTCCTATCACAATAATTGAAATGGAAGATGTTATAAGAACGTTACCCAACAATAAAGTGCCCGGGGTATCAAAGATCACTTATGAAATTATTAAAAAATTGCCTAATAATTTTCTCAAGGAAATCCTTTATTTATATAACTTTTCATTAAAATATGAAGTAATTCCCAACAGCTGGCTCAAAGCTCTCCTTTACCCGATACCAAAACCTCAATGGTGGGATAATGACATCAAACATACAAGACCTATTGTATTATTGGAAGCAATTAGGAAACTACTCACGAAAATTATTAACAACCGCCTTAATAAATATTTGAGTTTCAATAACATCTTACAACACAATAACAGAGCTGGGGTGCAATATTCATCGTGTATGGAAATTATATTTAACATACAAGCCTCGATTACTGCAGCAAAAACTTTACACAAACCGTTATATATATTAATTCAAGACTTATCGAAAGCATATGATCGCGTCGATATTCTGTTACTAGAACAAGCTTTGTTGCGAATTTGTATTCCCTCTTCCGTTATTAATTTTATCATTAATTTATTTACCAATAGAAGTAATCAAGTCATTTTTAGTGATTGGATCGGAGATCCATATGATGTCGAAATTGGTATTGATCAAGGAGAATCAATTTGTCCTCTCTTATGGGTAATATATTACGACCCCATGTTCGAAGCAATCAATTCCTCCTTTTTTCCTGGTATTAATTATAAAACACAAATTACAAGAAAATGTTATTTTCCTAAATTACAAGATTTCGATAATAATGATATAATCGAAGAAACGCTATCACACAAAGTACTTGGTTACTTAGACGATACAACCTGGTTAGCGGAAAACATCGAAGATCTGGAAAACAATTTAATGATTGCTAATAATTTCTACGAACTTGCCAATATTCATATCAACAAGGATAAATCCTTTATATTAGTTAATAGATATGCTAGGAAAAGCTCCTCACGTATTATAGCAGCTAATCCACCTTATATCGACATTAACTTTAGATCAAAGATCAAAGTACCTGTACTTAATAGAAATCAAAGTACGCGTATCTTAGGAGTATATTTTAACGCGGATGATGGTCGTCAAACAAGTATCAAAAAAATTTTTAATATGATTAATTACGTTACCATGTTAATTAGAAAGAAAAAACTTACACATGATCACGTGAT